TCTTTGGGTTCCACATCCTTAACGTCTTTTAAACCTGCCCCCACCGTTCATGCCATCACGAGGTTGCAGGGCAGGCACCTTGCCCTCAGCCTTATCTTTCTTCCATTCTTCCACCTGCTGCTGGAGTGACCTTCCCAAATTGCAAATCTGATCGCATTTATCAACCATCAAATGGTGACCCTCCTCCCCCAGGCACCAGCCAAGCCTCAAGATAAACTCTAAACTCCACACTAGGGCCATGAAGTTCCTGGCTCCTCACCATGGATGTGCCCCTGTCCTGCCCTGTCCCCTCCCCACCTCACCACAAGCTTCATCCCTCACCCCACCATCCTGGCTCCCACCTGTCCCTTGCTGGGTGCTGGCTCTCTGACACGCTGTGTCCTCATGCTTGCCTGTTACCTGTCTGTCTCCCAGCTATACTGCAAGCTCCGTGATGGGGTCTTTTGTCTCTGAATCAATAGCACTAACATGGTGCCTGGCGCACAGTATGTGTTCAGTACTATTTACTAAGTGAATCACTTCACATCCCCAACACCAAATAGTCTGCGGCGGCTGCACTTGACCGCCTCCACATGTAGGCACATGTGCGTCTACTGGGAATGCCTGCCTGTGAGCCTCTGTTGACTCCAACGAACACCTCTGCTCCATCCATTAGGGGCTGTTCTTCTAGAATTGCTGTGGGTGCTGGGAGCCCTGTATCCTTCCTCGGCTAATCATTTTGTGACTGCAGCAGCCTGCATTGTTCTACTCTGTGTATACAGAGAAGGGTTGGGAGTGGGGAGTGCATCTGTGAGTTCCGAGGTCCCTTGCAGAGAGGAGAGTTCCAAGCCTTTAGAAAATTTCTGTTGAAACTCATGTCTCCACCATGGGCCAATGAGCACGAGAAGGTGCTCCCTGGGAGGCTGTGGCTAGTAGCCCGGGCTGGCAAGAGATGCGCTGGCCCGGGTGGTGGGGGGGCGCACTCAGAGTCACCTGCTTGGTAGGGAGAAGAAATAGGGCCTGGGCCAAGCCTGATTGGAAACTCGAGGGACAGCAGGGCAGAACGAGACAGGCTTTTGTTCCCTCCCTGTAATGCAATGCACATTCCCCACTTAAAGGCAATTTCTGCACTTCAAAAGGATTCCAGCTGGCAAAATTTAAGGTGGAGAATAAGCCCCCAGTCAAGAAGCTTCTCAGGGGCCTTTCAGTTTTCCTTGGCTTGAGAACGGGATGCATTTTGAAATGTTTGCCTCTTCATGTTTGTCGGAGTGCCAGGGGAGAAACGCTTCCTCATACTTCCACACCTCTCTCACTCAGCCATAGCTGGCACGGGAGCCAGCCACGTTTTCCTGCACTACTTTCCCTCCTCGTGAACCTGCCTGACTTCCTCTCTTTCTCTCCCTGCTTCCTCACCCACCTCCCAGCTCACACCCCACCCCTGGGGGGAGGAGAGTCCTTCTGCCCTGGGTCCAGCAGGCTTGGCAGCTTTCCTTCCACAGATGCTGAAAGGGCCAACAGTTGGGCTGACACAGTTCATAGCTTACACTCCAGAGATGCTCTGCCAGCTGCCATTCATTCATTCATTCATTCATGCATGCATGTATTCACCTGTTCACTCTCTCACCAAAGTCACCCAGTCAGCCAGCATGGGATCTAAGATGCTGGTGAGGCCTGCAGGTGACTCAAAGAAAAACCACACGTAGTCTTGCTGTCCTAGCTTACAAAATGCTTGAAGCTTTGAGAGATAGAAACGAGCAATTACAGCACAAGACAGAGGGAAGTCAATACCCAGTTTAGAGGATAGGGACATTTTAAAAGCACAGAGAAAGAAGAGGTCAGCCAGGGATGCAGGTGGTGCCCAGAGGGGCAGTCAGGGAAGGCTTCCTAGAGATGGAAGCAGGGTCCAAAGATGTCAAGGATAGGGAAGTGGCTGATGCCAGGGTACGAAGGTGGGAAGACCTATGGTGGGCACAGAGGCACTGCTGCACCCCTCTTTCCAGGACTTTGGCATTTTATAGGAGGTGGGGAATCCTAGGCATGTGAACTGGCAGTCACTGCTTGGGTGGCATTGCTTCAGTCACCTTGGAAGCAACACACCAGCCCCACACAGCAGTCACCAACTCATGCCCTTTTCCATAAGGTCCTGAGGAAATACCTTCATGCTCTTCTCTGTCCTAAGCACTCAGGCTCCCCGTAACCCTTTCTTGAGGGACCAGGTAGCACTTGCTCCTGCAGCCTCATCAGTCATGCCCTCTCCCTTAAGAGAAGCTCCAACCATCACCTTCCCTAACAAGCACTGTCCTTTTTGCCCACCCCTGCCTGTGCCAGTACTTGCTGGTGTCTCCCTTAGAGCCCTTGCCAGTGGCCCACAGGTCAGGCCCATGAGCTCTGGAGTTGGGCAGACCTGGCTTTGACCCTGGCTCTGGCACTTTTCAGCTCTGCACTTGGCCAGATGACTCACTTCCATAGGACCTGCTCTTGCCATTCCTACCTGACAGCTTTTCACCCTGTGGGATAAATTACACCCGGACTTACGTTCAGGGCAACCATCCTTCTCTGCTGTCAGTCCTCACAGATTAAGAGGAGCCGTAGAGGGTCACTGCTAGGCTTAGGGATAGGCACGAGACCAAAGCCAGACAAAGCCTGTGACTTTTAATAGCTGGAAATCCCTACTTCCATGGAGATTGTCAAACACAGACCAAAGGGTCATCTTTGTCACCACAAGGGAAGAGTCTTTTTAAAATAAAAATAGCATAGAAAAAAAAACAGTCAAGAGACAGATTCCTAGTGACACTGAGCACCTGGATCCAGCCACACCTGAAGTTATCCCTGGAGTTTACAGTTTTGTAAACCAATAAGTTCCCCCACACACACTTTTTGGCTTAAGCTGATTTGACTTTTTGTCACATGCCACTAACAGTCTTGACTAAAGAAATGTTTAACTGGCAGACGTAATGACAGAATTAAATGAAATGCATGGATAGTACCCAGGGATAAGGTGGAACTCAATGACCACTTTTGACAACTCTTGCTGAACCTGCCTTCTCATAGGTCTGTTACATTTCCAAAAACCATAGTTCCATAGCAGTAGAATACTATATTTTCCTTTTCCCCACAGCTCCGATGAAATCTTCCTTTGTAAAATCTTCATCCTCCCTGGCTTTCTTGACCACAGCTCTGTGTCCCTCATAAATCTCTATGTGTCACATCCATTTTCCCCCTCACACAATCCCTGGGCTGAGACAGGCTGGGTTTAACAGTGTGAGACTTCAGGATGTGGTGGGGGTGATGTCGTCTGTGTTATGTGCAGATAACCCAGGGCGATCAGGATCAACTAAACCAAATCAAACCAAAGACTTTCCCAACAGGCTTCAAATAAATCCCTGCCTTTAAAGATACCAGGTGCTCAGAAAAGTCTACACTGCCATCTAGTGGATGTCTGCAACATCGTCAGCCCTTTGCTGAGAATCCCCTTGGGACCGCCCCTGGCCTGTGAAAGCCTCTAACCCTCACTGTATAAGGGACAAATCCCAAGACAAGGGAATGCATGGCGAAGCCGAGAGCCCCATCCCACAGAGTGGCTTGTACTTTTCTCTATGAGACTGGGTTCCTGCCCAGCCTCTGGGCCCTGCACCTCCCATCCCAGGAGTGAGGATCAGCAGCCTTCCTTTCCCTGCTCCTCTTGGCTGTCCACCAGGCCAAGGGTTTCCATGGAGGAGGGCTGACGTGTGTGCACGCATGCAAGTGTGTGTGTATGTGTGCACGTGCACACGTGTGCATGTGTGTGCTTTATTGCTCATCTTCCCAAAGGAAAGGGTAATTTGTGATGTTTGCACACAAGACAGCCATCAAAGCTTCAAGTGCAAAACGCTTCCAGAAAGAGAAGACTCTGCCCCCCACACTGGAGTCCCCCACGCGCTGCCGCCCTCCAGAGCATGTGGTCCCGCTCCGCTGAGCTGCCTCCATCAGGCCTGACCAAGGCAGCACTGAGAAGGAAGAACCCTTTGTGGCCCCTCCCTCCCACCCTGCACAGAAGGGACCAGAAGTCAGCCTTGGTGTGTGTGCTTGCTCACATCCTGTCCACGACCCTTCCATCTGCACGCATTTGTGACCTGGGTCCTGTCTAGGTTGATGCCAGCACCTCTCCTGCTAAAACACAGCAGAAAAGAGGGTAGTCCCCACCATCTTTGGGGCTCCATCTGGCCCAGGAGTCAAGAAACAAAGAGGCAGAGACCAGAAGACCAGATCAGCTCCCCCAAAACACACTCCAGCAGCTGAGAGCAGCAGCAGACCAATTTCCGACTTCTGCGATGCTTCCCCAGGCTTCCCAGACCTAAAGCAAGGAAGCTTCCAAAGCAGGATAGTACTAATCACTGCCCAGCAAAAGAGTTATTTCCAGTTCCTAAAATGCTTTGCTCCTCTTTTATACAACCTTGGGCCAAAGAATAATGTGTCTCACATGACAACAAAGTGTCAGGACGCACTGACCTCTGCCTGTGTCGGCGACTTGGGACACAAAAGCTTCTTTTATGTTAAACAGACAGGCCTGTTTAAGCTCTGCCCTGGTAACGCCCAGCTTCTCTCCAGCTCAGAAGCTATCTGAAGGCTCAGACGCGCTGCACCTCGAGAGAGGACTCCCCATATCACCCCTTCCTCCACTTCCCTGTCAACTCCAAAGCACACACCAGCTGGTCTCCTCCAGGCTTGGGGGCCCAGGTCTCAGGGCCTCGAGGGCTGCAAGGACAGCCAAGGAGCTCCCAGAGCAGGGGAGCAGGAAGAGGCCTGGGCAGAGTGGATTCAGCCATCAGGAAGTTTCCAGTCTGCGGCCCTCTCACTGGCCCCCAGGCTCCTCCTCAAGTCCACTCTAAGGAAGGCACAACTTTATGACAACAGCCATATGCTGCCACCAGACCCAACCCAGAAGGCTCTGCACACAGCTTCAAGTCACCCAGAGGAGCAAGCCTGGAGGAACATCAAGACCCTCAGCCCTCCCCCTGCTTTAAGACACCCTGCTCACTTACATCCACAGCCTGTGGGAACTTGACTATCGGCTCCTTCCAGGAGGTGATCTTCTGTCTGTAGTCATTACAATCAGGAACTATCATGCAGCCAATGCTCCCCAACTCTGGGTAGAATACTTCAAGGCCCCTACAAAGAGAGGAAGGAGGTTACCCTGTGTCAGGGTTTTAGGGAAGCCTGGGGTTTCCAAGGTTTCGGTCTAGCTCTATTGAGAATGTAAAGTGAAATGGGACTAAATCCTAAACCTGCCCCTAACTAGTTGTGTGACCCAAGAGTTACTTGATCACCTTGTGCCTCAGTTTCTTCATCTGTAAAATGAGGACACTCATAATACCTCCCTCAGGGTCAGTGTGAGGAGTAAAGTGGCAGTCAATGCTCAGAACAGAACCTGGCACGTTGTAAGTCATCAGAAAGTGAATATGAATTCTCATCAGTGTTTACTTCCCTAGAAGAATATACATCCTTAGGCAAACTTAGCGTCTTTAAAGTAGGATTGAGTTTATAAAAACAACACCTATATGTTGCTTTTCAGTAACATTCTTATTACAGAAAGAAAGGCTTAGCAAGTCAGCATACCGTCCTTCAAGGGCAGAGACCTTCTCTCTCCCCTAAACAATCAAGAGTTCCCCATGCCTGAAATCCCATGGTTAGTGAGTAATTGACTTCTTTAGGTTAAGCAATGACCATAGGCTGGGTTCTCTGTCAAATGCAAACATCTCTCAGGGGGTAAAACATTGCCTCTCTGAGACTATCAGTATGAATGAACCAGTTCATCTATTTGCTCCCTGAGAAGGGCCTGAACAGCACCAGGGATCTGAGAATGTGGCTCCCCGGAAGGGAAGAAAAAGAGATGCAGAGCAAGGCAACAGAGTCTGCAGGGCAGGGCAGGCTGGGCCATGACCACGCCAGGCGGGCCTTCGGTGCATGCTTGTATTTGAAACTCAGACACGTAGGTAAGATTTTTCAAATGTATTATAAAAACTGTTTTTACTTGCCCTTCTGTTATATTTATCTCCGAGACCCAAGGGTTAATGTGGGTTAAGACATCTCTGAGAGAGAAGGTGTGGGTAGGGAGTGGGGGCTGCAGGTCCTCAGCATTTCCTAACAGCCTGGCATGGCTGAGCCGCTCTACAGCCTGCCCCTAGCCACCCATAGCTGTCCAGTGTCTCGCTGGGGGTGACGCCTAAGGGGACCCTGTGAGGATGTAATTTGGAGAACAGAGCTGGAGGGAGAGCTTCCTGAGGCTGGGAGCTGGGAGTAGGCGAAGCGCAGCTTCCTGGTGAGGAGCCCTGCCTCCCCACTGTCGCCTTCCACCTGCCACCATTTCAGTGGCTCCTGAAGTTCAGCTTTGGGCTAAAGGCCTCTGAGCTCCCAGCACCTGGCAGCCGTGGACCAGGACACTTCCGTGGGCCAGGACCCCCAATCCCTGGACTCAGGCGCTCTGGTCTCAGATGGTGGAAGCAGGACGAGTCACGGGCTTCCTGGGCCAATTTGTTTCTTCTAACTCTGCACATTTACAGCAATTCTTGGTGGATGGCAAGGTTTTCGCAGCTCTTGGAGAAGTTTTAGGGAACCAGTTTTATCTTCATCACAGCATCCTTTTTTTTTGAGATGGAGTCTTGCTTTGTCACCTAGGCTGGAGTACAGTGGCATGATCTTGGCTCACTACAACCTCTGCCTCCCAGGCTCAAGCGATTCTCCTGCCTCAGCCTACTGAGTAGCTGAGATTACAAGTTAGCACCACCACGCCTGAGTAATTTTTGAATTTTTGGTAGAGACAGGCTGGTCTCGAACTCCTGGCCTCATGATCCGCCCACCCATCTTAAGGATTGTTTCATTTGTTTCTGCTGCAACTCCTTGCTGCTGCAGCTAGCCAGATGCAAGGCAGAGAGGGAACCCTCCAAGGGCAGAGAGACAGACAGCAAACAGCACAGAATGGGAAAACTGAGGGGCAGAGAGGATGTAAACTGAGGGTGGAGGGTCGCCCCCACACCCACAACTCCTCTCCCCCTTTTACCATAGTAGAATTGCTACAAATATCAAAAGAATTAAACAAGCAAGATCAGTAAACCTATATTTGGTGAGGGGGATGCAGGCCACAGAGAATACCCCGAAGGACAGGACCCATGCCAGGGAACCAGGGATTGGGTTGTGTCCCTGTCCCTCTCTTCACACCCATAGGGCACTGCCAGGACTGTGTTTGAAGGCAGCATATTGCCCCAGCTAGGATGATGGGGTGTGCATAGGCCTCTGCCCTGCTCAGCAGCTTTAGCAAAGGCTTGGAGAAGGACACAGAGGCGAATGTATTTGATCTGCAGACAGCGCAGAGCTGATGATCAAGAATTGTGATGATCAAATCGACTTACAAGACGACCTGGACAAGCTGAGGTGAGCTGAATCAAAAATTAAAGTCAGTGAGAAAATATACTTTAAAATTTGCATTCAAGGCCAGGCGCAGTGGCTCGTGCCTATAATCTCAGCTCTTTGGGAGGCTGGGGTGGGAGGCTCCAGCATTGCTGGAGTCCAGGAATTTGAGACCAGCCTAGGCAACATAGTGAGACCCTGTTTCTACCAAAAATTAAAAAAAATAATAATAACCGGGCATGGTGGTGCATGCCTGTAGTCCCAGCTACTGGGGAGGCTGATGTGGAAGGATCACTAGAGCCCAGGAGGTAGAGGCTGCAGTGAGCCATGATTGCACCACCACACTCCAGCCTGGGTGACAGATCAAGACCCTGTCTTAAAGACAAACAACTTGCATTAAAGCTAAAAAACCTCAAAGGCGCCACTTTCCTCTGTGCCCTTGCTGTTTGTGGTTTACCTGACATGGAATTCATTCTAATTTCCATCCTGAGAGTTTGGGGATCTCCTGATCTCCCTGACAAGACTCGGAGGCACCCTAGAGAGTGGAATAAAAAGAGCAGGGGCCTTGTGCCCTGCTTTGCCATGAACTAACACTACATAAAGGACTGGGGACAAAGGGCATGACTTTTACTGGGCCACCCTAATAGATCAGGGACCTCATCTATGTATGATTTCACTTCATGCAACTATACCTGGAGCCAGCTGTTATCACTGTTCCTATCTCCAGATGAGTAACAGAAACTGTACATATTTGCAGCTGCTATGTATTGGAGTAATCCGTTGTGTACAACAGAGAACTGGTCCAGTGGGCGTGTCTGTCCATTCTTCCCTGTACCACACATCTTTCCAAGTGAGCTGTTTCGCTCCTCTAGGTTTCAGTTTGAGCTAGGTGGTCGCATGAGTCTCTCTGTCATGGTAAGAATTGGATCAGAAGGGCCGGGCATGGTGGCTCAAGCCTGTAATCCCAGCACTTCGGAAGGCTGAGGTAAGATGATCACTTGAGCCCAGGAGTTAGAGGCCAGCCTGGGCAATGTAGTGAGATCCTGTCTCTATAAAACATAAAATAAATTAGCCAAGTGTGATGGTACGCAGCTGTAGTCCCAGCGACAGGAGACTGAAGTGGGAGGGTCGCTTGAGTCTGGGAGGTCAAGGTTGCAGTGAGCTATGATCCTGCTACCTACTGCAGTCCAGCCTGGATGACAGAGGGTGACAGAGTGAGACCCTGTCTCTAAAAACATGGCTTCTCAGCTGTGCCCGTATGAAGGGCTCAGAATTTCAGCTGCCACTTAGTGAATGCTATGGTCTGAGTGTTGGTGTCTCCTCTAAATTTAAATGTTGGAATTTGATCCTCAATATGATGTATTAAGAATTGGGACCTGGAGGAGGTGATTAAGTCACCCTCATAAAAGACATTCTCATAAAAGGGCTGAAGGGAGCTGCCCTTCCCTTCCACCATGTGAAGACCCAGCAAGAAGGCGCCATCTTTGAAGAGAGAGCAAGCTCATAGTGCACGCTGAATGGCCAGCACCTTGATCCTGGAGCACCTCAGCCTCCAGAGTCATGAGCCTTGGTGTGCATACTTGGTCACATCCTGGCCATGACCCTTCTACCTCCACTCATTTGTGAACCGAGTCCTACCTAGGTTGACACCAGCACCTCCTAAAACACAGCAGAAAAGAGGACAATCTCCACCATACATTTCTGTTGTTTAGAAATGACCTAGTCTAAGGTATTTTGTTATAGCAGCAGAACAGACTAAGACAGTGAGGATGACAAAAGGACACATGGGATATGAGGCTGCCTTGAAGAGGGGGCCCCATGTGAAAGTGTGGGTCACCCCACTCGGAGAAAGAGCAAGCCAGGTATGGCAACTCATACCTGTAATCCCAGCACTTTGGGAGGCTGAGGTGACAGGATTGCTTGAGCCCAAGAGTTTGTGACCAGCCTGAACAACACAGAGAGACCCAAACTCTACAAAAAATAAGAAACTTAGCCAGGCCTGGCGGCATGTGCCTGTAGTCCCAGCTACTCAGGAGGCTGAGGCAGGAGAATTGCTTAAGCCCAGGTGTTCAAGGCTGCAGTGAGCTCTCATCAGGCCACTGCAAGATTCTGTGACAGAGCAAGATTCTATCTCTAAAAGAAATTTATTTAAGGAGAAGAGTAGCCAAGGCCCCTGAGAGGGATTGAAGGACTGGGGATGGCTGCCCAGGTTGGGGGGAGCTGGGGATGAAGGGACAGGGGCATCTGGGGGATCATTTGCCAAGGTCAGAGCCTGAGCTGAGTGGGGATCTTGGGGAGGGCTCAGTGCAGGAGGTCTTGCCGGGGTCCACTCTGTCTCCTCTGGGTCTCCTCCGGGGTCACATCTGTCCTTGACACATTTTCATTTCATCCTCACTCATGATGATCTCTTCGGAACAAAAATCTTCAGTGGTAATAAAGACAAAGCTCCTCTTTTGCAATGATGCCTTGAAATCAAAAGGCATCTTCCTGGTGTGCAACCTTAGGGTCATGGTCTGTTTCTCAAATTGGGGGCCTGCTGGCGTATTCTGGGAGTCCTGAAAATGGCCCCCCTTGATTCGAGTCTGGGAGCCCTGGACCCAGGTTGAGGGGTGTCAGCAGAAGCAGATGGGGAAAGAGCATCAGTAAGGAGTCAGACAAGGGGGCTAGATCTTGGCTCTGCCACTGTTAAGCTATGTAAGCACCGTGGGCAGGTTTCTTAATCTCTGGGGACTCTTCATCTGCAAAATGGGGACGCTAACACAGAATTTGCAGGTTCATTACTGACAGTGAAAGGAGTCAGGGAGTCCAAGCACCGACAGAGAAATCTGGCATACAAAAGGTGCCCTGGGGCTCCCCAAGTGTGCCTCCATGCATGGGTCACCAGGGCGCCAAGATGAGATCTTGGCAGAGCAGAGCCTAGAGCATCCAAGGCCACAGGCTGGTCACCTCCAGTGACCATACAGACATCCTCATTTCCCACAGTGTGGGAAACTCCAGGAACCGCTGAGCTCTTCCTCAAAGGGCCATTATTGCAGCCTGGGCCTGCTGTACCTGGGACCAGCTGGCCTCCCCAGCTTATGGGGGCATTGACCTTGCATTGCTCAGAGTAGGAAGCCTGCCGGCCCCTCAGCTTACTCAGCAGAGCACCTAGAAAATTAGATCCCCCCCCACCCCCGTGAGAGCCAGCCATGTTTCTCTCCCTCCTCCCACATGAAAGTCACCCAGAACTGTTTAACATTTTTTTTTTTAGCCGGAGTCTTGCTCCGTCACCCAGGCTGGAGTGCAATGGTGTCTTGGTTCACTGCAACCTCTGCCTCCTGGGTTCAAGCAATTCTCCTGCCTCAGCTTCCCAAGTAGCTGGGATTACAGGTGCCCACCACCATGCCCAGCTAATTTTTGTATTTTCAGTAGAGACGGGGTTTCACCATGTTGGCCAGGCTATTCTTGAACTCCTGACCTCAAGATCTGCCCGCCTCAGCCTTCCAAAGTGCTGAGATTACAGGTGTGAGCCACCACACCCGGCCGTGTTTAACAAGATTTTTAAAAATGTACTGACACGAGCAAAGTTTGTTACTTTTGTTTTGTTTTGTTTCGTTTTGTTTTGTTTGAGGCAGGGTCTGGCTCTGCCACCCAGGCTGGAGTGCAGTGGTCCAGTCATGGCTGGACGCAGCCTTGGCCTCCTGGGCTTAAGCAGTCCTCCCCCCTCAGCCTCTTGAGTAGCTGGGACTACAGGTATGCATCACCATGCTTGGCTAGCTTTTAAATTGTTTTGTAGAAACAGAGTCTATGTTGCCCAGGCTGGTCTCGAACTCCTGGGCTCAAGTGATCCTCCCACCTTGGCCTCCCAAAATGCTGGGATTACACACGTGCACTACTGCATCCAGCCAAAATATTACTTTCTAAAAAGAATTCAGCTACATAACTTTAAGAGAAGACACATATTTATGTTTCTAAAAGTAATGTTGGTCAAAAAATTTTTAAATTAAAATAAAAAGAAAAACAAACATTTTCACAAACAGTAATGTTTATGAAAATGCAAAGGTACAGAAGAGAGTAAGTCTAAGTTCTTTTTACTCCTCTCCCATCCCGCACATGGACTCAGTGGGTGGCCCCCTCCCCAGTCACTAAACTGGCAGGGAGGATTGGCATCAAAGTGGCCTGGGGAGGCCTCAGGATAACCCACGAGTGCAGACAAATGAAGGCTTGCTTCTGTAACCAGCAGAGATGGCGAGGAGAGAGCGGAATGCCAGGCCTTCCAGCTTACCCAGAGTAGAAGCGGCTAGTGCCCTTGAAAGGGAAGAAACCGGCCTCGCCACCCGACTCCGTCCAGTGCCATGATCCCTAAAGGGCCCCCTGCCCAAACACTCCTGGTTCGCATCATTGAAAAAAACCTCTCACACAGAGAGGGTCTAATCATACACCTTCTTTCATTAAAATGTCTCTTTGTTGGGGTTCTGGGGGTATGGTGCATTCAGACTATAGGGAGGGACGGTCTCTCCCTGGGTCCCAGCAGGGAGGTTGAGGCCAGCCCCCTGCCCCCACAAAGATCCCCCCACGTTTGGAGGGCCCAAGCAGAGCCAACCATCTACACAGCTCTCTGTTCCTGGGAAAGGTGCGTTCTGGGAGGCGGGAAGGAGCCTGTTTCCAAGTCCCTTCTCGGTGCCATCCTCCGTCAGGGTGGTCTCCAGACCAGACATCTGTTCTGTCTTCCCCATAAAAGTGGGCTCAGAAGATGATGCTCCTTGGTTCTGGAAACACCCCTCCCTGAGATCTACCCGCCCGGTAGCCGCTGCGCCTCCCAACTCCAATCCTGCCCTGACTTACTGGCACAGGACAGCGTCCTCGTCCAAGAGGGCCGTGTGGGCACACAAGTCATTCTTGTTCTCATCTCCAGTGACCACTGCGACGAGAACCAGTAACAGTGCTGCTGTGGCCAGCCTCATTGCCCAACCCATGGGTACCTGGAACAGAAGGAGTGTTAGAGTGGCTGGATCCCCTGCTGGGGGGTTCCTGCCCATTACCTGCGCCCCCCACCCCAGGGGCCCACTTGGCAGGATAGAGACCTCTGGTTAAGCACAGGGTGAAAGGCAAGCAGCTTCCAGGGCTCTGCAGTGAATCTGATCCACCACCCGGACATGAGTACCTTGGGAGGACCTGGGCCTCCTCCAAGTTGGACTCAGTGTGCAGTCCTGGCCGAGGCCCCTCCCCTAGCAGGACACAGCTTTGTTGTCACTCTTGTCCTGGCTGCCAGGGCAGAGAGCAGGCTGCAAAGTAGAAGTGCTTATATAAGCAGCTTCTTAGCGCAGCTCCTCGTCCAGCCCCTGCTCCTGGCCCGGGGATGGTCAGCTGGCCAAAGGCCAGCCTGCTCCGTGGCTGTAAGGCAAGCCCTGGGAAGCTGGTGACCTCAGGCTCAGAGCTAGGGGTTGGGTTGGGCTGAGACCCCCAGACCAGCTCTGCCTCTCCTCGCCCCCGTTCTTCCACCGCCTGTCTCCACAGCCTGCGAGCTTCCCCAAGGTGGAGGTGGTTGGACACAGTGACCTTGTGTAGGAGGGACTGCTGCCCTGGGTGGGGGCAGGGGCACCGAGGCCAGCTCCGAAGGGCCAGCTGAGGACAGAAGGTTGCATCCAGCTGCACCTTGCAGCTGTGCTGAACTCAGCACTCCCAAAATAACCGTCTCTGGAGAAGGAGGTCTGGGGAGCTGCGTGGGGCTCAGAAGGGGGTGGCCTTCCCCAGCACTGCACTGGGAGGAAGGGGAGCCGGACACCATTGCCTGCCTTCCCTTGGGGAACAGCCCTGCCACCAGGTGCATGTGGGACTCTGGTTAGAGCCTGAGTGGGCAGGGGGAAGAACAAAGGCGGCTTCCCACAGCCTTTCCAATAGCTCTGCTCTCTGCTCTCTGTTCTCTCAGAGGCGGGGGTGGGAGAGACATGCCAGCAGCTCAGGACTCCTGGCTTCTGCTCTGAGCTCTCTCTGGATGCTGGGGAGGCCACTTGTCTCCCTAGGACACAACACTTTTCCTTTTCACAAACAAGTAGAATGATTCCTGTCACCGTGGTGCCCTGCTAAGGAATATGAGATCACCACTGTAAAGTGTGTGCAGCTAGATCTTTAGAGAAACTATTTTCAGCATAGTCTGCTTTCTGGCTCAATTCCTGCCTTCAGCATCCCAAAATAGGGCAAAAAGCCCCCACTTTGGGGCCACATATTAAACACATTTCTCAATCATTAGGCTCCCTGAAGTACAACCAGGACTCCCCTTGCCCCCAACCAGAAAACATATTCCCAAGATCTCCCGTACTGGACAGAGTCTGATAGCAGCCTTCTCAAAAGATCATTGTGAGAATGAGATCAATCAGGTCAAGCACTCGGTAAGGCACCTGGCACATAGTAAATGCTCAATATTTATGAACAGCCTAAGTATTCTCCCACAGATCCATCCATTCATTCATTCCTTTGCAATCCACTTCACCCATAGAGTAGGCATGAAGTGCCTCCCACATGCCTGCCCCATGTTGGGCCCCAGGAAATGGGTTGAGCATGGCCACAGTCTGCATGCAGCTCACAGGACAGCCAGAGCCAAGGAGATGCTGCCAGAATGGTCGCCCGAGACCAAGGGACTCTCATCTTCCAAATGGTATTCACTAGAGAAGCCTCAGCTTCCCTGGGTGTCAACTCTTTAGCACAGTGATGGCGGCCTGGAGGCAGGGAGAGCCCATGGTGCAGGTTGCTGCTGTTGAGCCCACTTCCAGCCTCGGTTCTTCCTAAACCCACGTGCCAGGCACTTTTATCTGCAAATCCTCAAGCCAATTCTTAGAACTAGACACTATGATCACCCAATCTTATGGAGGAGGTGACTGCACAGTGACACTAGCTAAAACCTGATATTGGTCACCAGGAAGTGGCAGATCTGGGATTTGAACCAGGCTCTGGCTGAACCTGTTGAAACTGAGTTGACTCCAAGCTTTTTATTTTTTTGAGACAGGGTTTCACTCCCGTCACCCAGGCTGGAGTGCAATGGGGCAATGGAGGCTCCCGAAACCTCTGCCTTCTGGGCTTCAAGGGATTCTCCTGCCACAGACTCCCAAGGCGCTGGGACTACAGGCACACCATGGCTCTGGCTAAATTTTGTAATTTTTGTAGAGACGGGGTCTTGCCATGTTGCCCAGGCTTGTCTCAAACTCCTGGGCTCAAGTGATCCACCCACCTTGGCTTCCCAAAGTGCTAGAATTACAGGCTTCAGCTACCACACCCAGCCCAGAGTCCACACTGTTAACCACCTGGCTACACTGCACCCTGTAGCTGCCCCATGGCCTCTCATTCAGTCCCTGCACATTTCCTTTGCTCTTAGGAGAAGGCCCCCAAAGTCCTCCACATGGCCCACAATGCCCTGTGAGATCCAGCTTTTCCTGTCTCTCTCTAGCTGACTTCCTACTCCTCTCATATGTTACCTCTGGTGGGTTCCTCAAGTTCCTTTCCACCCCAGGACCGTGATAGGCACCGACCCACTTCCCACCTTCATTGGAGGGTAGCTGAAATGTCATTTCCTAAGAAACTTGCTCTGACCCCTAGGCTCCATCAGATTCCTGTTAGAAACAATCAGAGCACCTTATTGCTTTCTTCATTATTCTGTACAGTTGTAATAAATTATTTTGTAGTTATTTGCTTATTGATAGTATCTCCCTCATGCCCCCAGCCTATAAGCTTCTGGGAGGCAGCACAGAGACTGTCCAGCATTCTGAGCACCCTACATGGAGTATATAGAGGCTTAATAAAACTTGTTTAAGGGCATGACACACGCCACTTCCGTTTCTGATCGTCCTCATTTTCACCTAACAGCTCATAACTGTATAAATATCAGTAGGAAACAATCACTCGGGTTGGCCCTTAGCCCTGGATGCCTTTTGCTTATTTACCTAACCTTCCCTGGCTTGTTTTCGTACAGAGAGATCTGGCAGAATGCAGTGGTTCTCGGGATTTTCAACCCTGATCTTTCTCTTGGGGATTTTCAGGACTTTGATTCAGGACTTTGAAACCTAAGATCTGGAAGCCATGTTCAAGCTTCCGCAGTGACAGTTCTCCCTCCCCATCCCCAGCTGGTTTTGCTTGATTCCCTCACTCCTGCAAAGTCCTACTGCTAGATTTCTTGGTGCCAACCTTTGAAGTCCTCCTATCTTCCTTTGGTTACCTGGGCTGCAACCACCTCCAGGCACCACCAAAAATCAAGCCAAATGTGGCTTCCTGAGACACACAGGTCCCTCCAGCTACTGGGATCTGCTGGGCCACTGCTGCTGAAATTCTCCACTCCCTTTTTATCCCTTCAGGCCTCCTGTGCCTGACACCCCCATCAGTGCCCAGACCTCACCTCCTTTCTCTTCCCAGACACAGACTCTTGTTCTTTCTCTCCCTCCTAAACCTTTCCACACAGGCCCTCTGGAATCTCTGAACCATAGTAAACAAATTCCCCTGAACTCTTTCCATTCATTCCTAATAAAAAAATTAACTGAGATATAATTGACATCATACAATTCACCCTTTTAACATGTACAATCCAGTGGATTTTCGTGTGTTCACAAGCTTGTGCAAACGTCACCACTACCAAAGTACAGAGTATTTCATCAACGCAAAAGAAGTCCTATACTTATCAGCAGTAACACCCATTCCTCCCTCCCCCCGGCCCTTGACAACCCTAATCTATTTTCTGTCAATCTGAATTTGCCTATTTTGGACGCCTCTACCAGCATCTTCCCCTTCTTCCTTTCCAGCCTCCCTTCCCACGGCCACTTTCTTGGACATTGTCATCACTACAAACTGCTCCACCACTCAAGGACTGCTCCGCCCTGCAGCCCTGCTCCGCCCTGCAGCCCTGCTCCGCCCGTACAGCCCTGCTCCGCCCGTGCAGCCCTGCTCCGCCCGTGCAGCCCTGCTCCAGCCATACAGCCCTCCTCCGCCATACAGCCCTGCTCCGCCCGTGCAGCCCTGCTCCAGCCATACAGCCCTGCTCCGCCCGTACAGCCCTGCTCCGCCCTGCAGCCCTGCTCCCGCCATACAGCCCTGCTCCGCCCGTACAGCCCTGCTCCGCCCTGCAGCCCTGCTCCAGCCATACAGCCCTCCTCCGCCATACAGCCCTGCTCCGCCATACAGCCCTGCTCCTGCCATACAGCCCTGCTCCGCCATACAGCCCTGCTCCAGCCATACAGCCCTGCTCCGCCCTGCAGCCCTGCTCCCGCCATACAGCCCTGCTCCGCCCTGCAGCCCTGCTCCGCCATACAGCCCTGCTCCCGCCATACAGCCCTGCTCCGCCTTACAGCCCTGCTCCCGCCGGTGCAGCCCTGCTCCTGCCATACAGCCCTGCTCCGCCCGTACAGCCCTGCTCCCGCTCTGCCCTCAGTGTCCTGTGTCTTCTACAGAGCCCAGGGTAGGGGCCTGGGAGGCATCAGGGGAAACACTGTACTAAGTGAAAACAGCCAGTTGCAAAAGAACACAGATTGTATGATTCCATGCATATGAAATGTCCAGAATAGGCAAACATATAGTGTCAGAAAGTAGAGCAGTGGTTGCTAAGGCTGAAGGCTGAAGGCGGAGGTGGGGTAAGATGTGACTGAGAGGTAGGGGGATGGGAGCTAAAAGGTATGAGGTTTAAAGGTGATGAAACTGTTCTAAAATTGACTATGTGATGGTTGCACGTATCTATACATATACTAAAAACCACTGAATTATACACTTCAAAATTCGTGAATTCTGAGATCTGTGGAGCATATAGCAATAACGCTGTTTTAAAAAATCATCCTGGGGATGTCAGCAAAATGGATGACTAGGAGGCTCCAGGCTCTTGCTCCCTCATGGAAAGCTAAACACACACATACACTGTCCCCACTGCCCTCCCCGCTCACAGAGAGAGAGAGAGAGAGAGAGAGAGAGAGAGAGAGAGAGAGAGAGAGAGAAATGGCTGAACGAACTTTATAGGAGTTCTGGAAAACAGCCAAAGGTTAGAGCAACCAAGCGAATGCCCAATCAAGGAAAGCCTCCTTAACTGCAGCCTGGGTGAGAGAGGGAGACCCTGTCTCCATTTTTCAAAGCCTCCTTCAAAATAATAGGAATTTTGCCAGGCACGGTGGCTCATGCCTAAAATCCGAGCACTTTGGGAGGCCCAGGTGGGCAGATCACCTGAGGTCAGGAGTTCACGACCAGCCTGGCCAACATGGTGAAACCCCGTCTCTATTAAAAATACAAAAATTAGCCAAGCATGGTGGCGAGCACCTGTAATCTCAGCTACTTGGGAGGCTAAGGCAGAAGAATTGCTTGAACCCAGGAGGCTGAGATTGCAGTGAGGCAAGATTGCACCACTACACTCTAGCCTGGGCGACCGACAGAACAAGACTCTATCTCCAAAAAAAAAAAAAAAAAAAAAAAAAAAAGGTAGGGAATTTCATTTTCCTTCTACCTTGCCCCACCTCCAGTGCCAGCAGTATTGGTCTGGAGGAGATGGTAGCTCAAGCCCCA